AAGGTGGTAAGACAAGTTTCACACAAACGTTCTTTCTGTAATTACATAATCAGAAATGTCACAGAGCAATAAAAGAGTGATGAGTTCAAAAGAAGACAGTCATTGTTTTGCTCTCACTCTAATGAACTAACGGCTATAAAAAAAATAATCTATCCTCTCAACTAATGCTCACAGAGAAAGCAAACATATCAGTTTCATAAACTGTTAGATGATTTCCTTAAGGCTTAAAGACTTCATCATCACATGGGAAAGATACAGGTAACACCAGCGTCTCTGTGTGTCCACAGTCCATCACCAGAGCAGAGTTGATTCCCAACGTCATGATGGCCATGAGATGACTCGGGGCAAACAGCACAGAGGGAACCTGGAAAACACCATCAACACTCATAAATAAACTAGTAACACATTGTAGAGAACACATACTATTATTATAGATTGGCTTTAAGTTGTTTTTAGAGCATGTGTGAGAGTTTGAATAAAATGCATTTAGAAATGTGTGTATAAATATGTTACAGGCATGCTTCCTATTAAGCTTTTTTACAAACTTGTGTTGCAGCTTAAATTAACCCTTGGTTGGCACTTACAGATCGCCAGCTGAGGGCGAGATTCTTATCCCCCCCCCTGTTACAACTTGCATATCATGTAATGCACAGATGCAGAATGGTGGGGTGAATTTGTTACACTTGTTTTTCCACCATTGGATGTAGTAGCAGAGGCGTAACGGGGGGAGGACCATAGGGAAGTGTAAGGAGAGCGGAGGAGCAACATCTGGAGATGTGCATCGACAGCAGTGCTAGTTTATAATGCACTGCGACTCTTAACAAAATAAGAGTTAAGGACAGCTCTGTGCATGTCAGAATGTTTTTAATTCTGGTTAAATGTTTGATGCACGTACACACACGCCATAATTGGATCGTTTTATTTAGCGTCCATGTAATCAGTGAAGTTGAAATCCTGAAATCAGAATCACATTGATTGGATAGTTCATGTCTGATGAAGGGCGAGGGCCTAAAATGTTACATGTGGTGATAATTCCCATTAAATGTTAATTGGAGTGGCTTCTGGTGTGCAGAATTTGTCTTCCCCTGTCTTTTTTGTCCATGACCCAGTACTCAAATATTTGGGTGTGTGTGCTGTTTGATATTTTTATAGAAGAAATGGTGCACATGTAAACATAGCTACTGTCAGGGATGTAATGAGTCGAGGAATCGCAGTCTGTAAAGGGCTACTACTGATGCACTTTTATACCTCAAACTGTTTGAAGAAAACTTTGGTGAGCGTCTCTCTGAAGTGAGACGGGCAGAGGATGGACTCGATGATGACCACTCTTCTGTCTCGAGGGTTCACTAGCAGGTGCCTGAATGAGAGGAACAGGAAGACAAACGCATCTGATGAGACCGCTCCTCTTTCTGACACGTGAGTTGTTTGCTACAAACGTCTTGACAATAAGAACTCAAGCAGTGAAGTCTCACCTGAAGTACAGCAAATGGATGAACTCTTTGAGGATGACATAAAGTTCTTCTGTGTTGATGTTGTACTGAACCACTTTGGTGGCCTGAAAGTGAGACATCACATCCATAATCAACATCTATAATTCAACACACAAACTTCTTTTCAAATGAGCACACTCTGCAAAGCACAGTGGTGTCTCACCTGTTGCTGTCCCGGTTTCCGGATCTCGCTCGGAATTATGAACCTGGGCCCAGTTTCCCCTGCAAAGCCGCATCTGCAATGACAGGAAACAGCAGGCTAAGTATGAGGTGGACAGTACATTTCATTTATTTACAACATTTTTCAAAATAAAAAAATACATGCAAACAAAGCGAACAACAATGAGAGCATACTTTCTGTAGTGGTTCGATTTTTCTTTTCCTTTTTTTTGTTCGAAAAAAAGGGTGTAGGATGAAGTGAACGAAACACATCCAGTCCTACCACTTTTTCTTGTTATCTTTCTTAGTTTATTGCAGGCCCAAGTTAAAGACTACAGATAACTAGCTAAGTAACAAACGCAACAACAAATATAACATATTGCGCTCATTATTTTGTAGACGTACAGACCTCACAAAGGACATTGTTCCACTTTACTCATTGATTCTTCAGTTTCATATCTGTTAAAGTTAATCTGTGTTTGACATGTTTTCATATCTTCACTACAGCTGCTCCATCATTTAACCACCTGACTTTCACGTTGGTCCTTACTGCTTTTTACTGATTACTGATTACCTTACTGATTTTCCCTCAGCCGAAAAAAACCTTTGGATGACGTGCAGTAACTGATGATTTCTTACTCCGTTCATGATTTGGATAGTTTTGAAGTCAAGCAGGTCTTTTCATTTCAGCGATTTCGTACAAAATTATATAAATGATTGTTTACAAATATCACGAAGAGGAGGAACGCAATCAATATTATTTTTGAGTTATTAATTAGACACAAACTTTAATATAAGTAATACTAGGCAACATTTGGTTGTGTGCAAAGAAACCCCCTTGCACTTCTGTATGAAATGATGTGGAAGAGCAGACAAAGACGTGATTATTAAAAGACAGGAGCGCACTCCTCTAGATCTTCATGTGACTTCTTGCCTCAGGCTTGTGTTTCTTCTTCTTTAATACCCAAGTCCATTCTCAGCGAGATGGCTAACATTAAGTTGCATTAAGACATCGCAGGATATAAAGAAAGGTTTCATTGGTGGAGGAGATTTGTAAGGTTTGGTGATGGGTGCTGTGACTTTTGGTGTCTGGCAGCTTTCAGATTAGCAGGTGCTTAGTTACAACTATTTAGGTCACTGGAACAGCAGCCAAGTGTTCAACTCACAACAAACAAGCAAGCACCATCGTGTGAGCTGATGTAAATCATTTAAATGTCATGTTAAGTTGATCTTTCACATCGAGACCAACATTATTCATTATCCATCATAACAAACTTCTTGTTTGTCTTTGTAGGCAACTCAAAACACAAACGAGCTGCTCTGGGGCTCATTTCTGAAATAATGTGAACTGTGTGGTCTTTAAAGGAGCTTAATGGAGGAATGCAGATCGTTTTAATAATCATGAATTCACAAGTTGTTTCATTAACTGGATTTGAGCTCTTTAGTGGAATTAGCCGATGGTAGCTAACAATAACCAAGCTAACAAGTCTGGTGAGCACATAGAGACATTTTTAACACATGTCGGTGTGTGTGTGTGTGTGTGTGTGAAGCTCAACCTCTGTCTGAAATGTTGAAGGCACATAGGTGCATTTAAGCTTCATATCTAGATGTAAAAATACATGAGCATGTGATGCTAACCAGATGTCTGCTAGCCTCTAACACTCACTTTGTGTATGCTGCTCCGAGGTCAATGACGATCGCAGTCTTCTCTCCTCCACTGCCCAACCCATCAAATAAGGGCATTTTAATAAGTCTACTCCTAACTATTGTTCGTATTTATCCTTGGAAGTAGCAACTTTGCATCGTAGGATCGCATCCAAAAAAAAGATAAAGAAACGCTGTTGTCTTCCTGTTGGGTTGGGTTGGGTCCCTTTGAAACGTAATGACGTCACATGCGTTTGCCTGATCAAAAGTGCTCAACTAAAATGATCGATTACAATTTTCCTTTAGATAAACTCACAAATGATAAATGTTTTTGCTCATTATGACCACATTTTTGCACACGCAAGGCTGATTCATAAAGACTCCAACAACTTTCTCCTGTTACTATAACGAAATCAAACTCCAAACGGGCCAAAGATCTATTTGAATCAGACTATACTTTTTTGTTGTTGTTTTGTTTGTGTTTATTTATTTTCACCAAACACAATCAGATTTAGTCTTTCCATTAAAGCAGATGAACTATAACAGCTGCTCTCCCCCATGTTTATTCAGAAAGGTGCCATATGTATACTTAAAGGGCTTTCATTTGATCAAATTAAGCTTTCAAAGTTGTTTACCAGTGTTGTTGTGTAAATGGAGTTTTGCCTGTTATGAGGTTAACAGCTAAGAGATTTACTAAAGAAACTGTTCTTTGCTATGCATTTATTTTGTCTTTTGTACTGCTTTGGGTTGGCTACTTTTTTTGTTTTTATTGCTGATTTATTTTTGCTGTGATTTTTATTTTGAAAGTTGCGTCTGTTTATTTGGCTGCAAGGGATCCGTATGTAGTGAATGTTTGCCTTACTGTTTGTAACTTTCAATTAACTACAAGGCATTTATTTGAACATTTTTGCTAACAACAAACACAGAATCAGCGAATCCAAGTAAAGAAAGAAGAAGTTAACAATTACATTCTTGCTTATCAGAGCCTATTGAAATCTTTAGGAGACCAGGAGGACCTGTATCAGCGAAGAGCTGTTACAGGACAAAGAGATATTAAAAACTTGCAAGAAAATTCAAGTCATGATAAATAAGTAAGCATTGCATAATTATATATATGCTAGAATGCACAAATCATACACAAATATCCATGTAAGTATCCATGAGTGTCCACATAAACACATACAAATGCCGATTAATATACCCTATATGTAATCATACATACATACATGCGTGCATGCATATATATATACATGCATAGATAGGCTACATACATGATCTACATGACCCTGATCTGTTGAGTATAAACTTCAGCAAATAATTTCGATACATTTGCATCTGAATAGTCCTATAAGATAGTTGTATGTTGGAACCTGGTAATACAATGGCTCAGATCAGAGACCTACAAAAATCAGATTTCAAGAAAAACAAAAAATGTATTAGGATATAGCACAACAGCCTACAGTAACTGGACCTCTCAGTAAAAACAGTTAACCAATCAATCAGAAAAAAAAAACATTTGAAAAGTTGTGAGCAGCACGTGACCTCTAACTTGAGGTCAAGGCGCTGTCCTTTCAGCACCACTGGGCGCCTCGTATGACCCATGAGAACAGACAGCCGACATTAAAATGTTAAAAAAAAAAAAAGTTAGCATAGAAGTGAACAAGGAATAAATGCACCAGACGCATAGGCAGAAGGTGTCAATGCCTTCGGTTGAAAGAATAATCAATCGTGCGGATGTAAAACATTTGGCGACAGCTGTTGAGAAGCAGGCGGACGTACGTAGAGAAGACGGAGACTTTGAGTCTGTGACGCTGAGCTGCACAACAACAAGCCTCTCCTTCAGCCTGCTGAACACACGAGACTCCCCGAAATCTGTAGCGAGCTGCAGCCCTGCGTCTACAGGCACGAGGATCCGTCATGAAGTGTGGACGGTAAAGAGAGTTTTTATTTGAAGCCTTACATTACTTTGTTTATATTGATCAAATACAAGTGCTGTAAAATGCATTTAGGGGCTGCATTAAGACTGCCAGCATTGTAACTGTGTGAGATGTGTTACATGACCGCAGTGTGTTTACAGTGTTAGACTGCATGAGTAGCCTATACCGTGTGAGTGCGTGGACTGTATTGTATTATTATAGGGGAGGTACGCAGGGAAGAAAGAGGGTTGAATTGTGACATTGTTGGACTGAGCATCATGAGGGATGAGTGCTGAGTCCTCTCTGAGACGTTTCTCTGACTCAGGCAACATGATAGGGTGTCACCCTTTCAACGGCACGTCAGTTTTTCTTCTTCTTCTTCTTCTTCTTTGCCAGATAACATATTGATTGTTTGCTGATGTCTGCTGTAACATCATGTGAAGCAACACACGCGCCATGAACACCTGTTTGTTTTTCCAATCCATTTAGGGAATGCAACATTTGCATACCCTGTTTAAATATGGCCCTATTAGCAGTAGAGATGCAGGTTTGTGTCATGTGAAAATGTAACATTCATGGACCCTTCTGTAGAGGCTCCTGGAGGATAGAAAAGCTGGTGCTATTTATAGGTGAAGTGCGGAGGGGTGCTAAGGATTGCTGTGTCAGATTCCACTCTCTTCTCCTCTCTCTTTTTCTCACTCCCCCTCTGTGTGTGTGTGTGTGTGTGTGTGTGTGTGTATCTGTACCCAGCATTTCCCTCTATTTATACAAAAAGAACTGAAGAGCCTGAGATGAAAAGGAATTTCATCCAAATTATTCAAAACGGTGCAAATGCAGCATCAAAGCGGAGGCAGGCAGAGCTCCGCAGCTAATCCTGTTCTCTGTGGTTATCACTGCCTATATGAAGTTCTTACTTTGGGTTCTGGTCCTTAATCTGCAGTTGCACTTGTTTTTGTTTTAAAGTGCCATGTCACCTATCATCCCTCTTCTGCCTCTGATTTGTCCCTCTTACATTTATCCTTGGTACCAAGGTTGCTATCTACGCCTATAAGCTCTTTCCTTTGTGTCCACTCTCGCAGGCATTGAGACAAAACAAAGATGCTGATGTCTGGGACGCTCCCCCACCTCCTCCTGGCCGGGACCTGTCTCTGTATCTATGGAAATCCTGTCCACGTCTCAGACCTGCTCCCCACACAGGACAGAGTAACAACTGTTAGGTCAACACAAACCCCAGATGTAGAGTCTGAACCCACAGGTACAGAGCATGTGACTGGACTTATGTTGGATGTAGGTGCAGGAGGAGGGGCTGGCCCGCATGGCGCACCTGAGGAAGCAGCCCAATTGAAGCAGACAGAAAACAGGGGCGGCCTCGATGGAAGATCTGGGCCAAGGGAGGCTGGAATAGAAGCACAAATGAGCCAAATGAGCAAGGAAAAGAAGGTCGGGAGCACATCTGAGATGGGAGACACTTTCAGACAGGCAGAAAGAGCTTCAATGCTGCCTGTTGAGGAGGATATTGCCAGCACTGAAGATCCAACAGGTGGGAGGAAGCAGTTGGACTTTTTATTAGATTCCTCTACAGCCAGGGGGAGCAAAGACCAACGTGTTGAGGACCTAACAGACCAACCAGCATACGTTTATTCTGTCCAGTATAAAAACCCAGAAACAGGCCTTCCATCCTCTACAGAACCTCCAAATCCTGGAGCAACCATCCAGAAACTGACCTCCTACAGTCCCATCTTTTTCTCCCCTCAGACCTACACACCTTTGTCCCTTTGGGGTCAAGATGGAGCTACAACATCCTCTCTCCAAGACCCCCTTTTACCTGAAATCGGACCAAACCTGATGCCAAAAGAGGATGGACCAGAAAGCCTGTGGACGGAGGCCGCAAGGTCTGCTGGAGGTTAGTCAGAAAAATAATGGAACGTTGAGTTAAAAAAAAATGGACATACCGGTATATGCTTTTTTTTTGGTGGTTAAACTTTCCACATATTTGTTTTTGGCATGAGTTAAAATATCCAATTTTTATCAACACAAAACCCATCTTTTGTAGTGTATGGTAATGTTCTGAAGTCATTGTCACCCTATGAGAATTCTCTCAACATGGAGCTTTATTCTCCGTCTTGCTGGAGTTTTCAGAGTTTCAGGAGGCTTCGTTAAAGAGCGGGGTGAAAATGAAAGCGTCAAGTCTTGTGGCAGAGTTGGCCTTTGATGATTGGCAAAGAAAGGAGCCCGCTTTTCCACGCTTCACTTTGAACCCCAGCTGGGACCCATGGCAGTCTAATTACTTTCTATTCTTGACTCCAGCTTGCAAAAATAAGAACAGACGCACACTCACAACTAGCAGGGAATGTCTGGTAGCATGGTGTGTTATTTAAGTCTTTGGAGGATTCAGGCCCTTCTTCTCTTTCCCTATGTACCCCCTTCTCCCTCTAAACCTTGTCTTTTTCTTCCTACACTATTGAAAAGACTCAGGCAGGATATTATTCAGAGTGGCAGAGGAGGAAAATGGATTAAAAGAGTCTGTCTGAGCCAATATGTGTTCCTGACGTCCATTTGGGGCTCGTGTTTGATGAAGCTTCCTCCCGACAGAACAGAGTCTGACAGAAAAACCCAACTCCCAAAACAGCGTTATGTAAAAGCATTGCGCTCTTTATAAGTATCTTCCAGCCTGCTTTAGAAATGATTTGGACTAAAGGAGATGCCTGGGACCTTTGCACAGTGACAGTTTTTCCTCTGTGGGAGCCCCTTATCTAGAAAGAACATTGCTTTCACACACTCATCCTTTCATTGTGTCATAGCTGCTCTGAAAGGGTGCAAGTGCTGTTAATGAAGGAAAACCGCATGGTACCTGCATCAAAATGCTGCGTTTCTCACAAATTATTCAGTGCTATATGCTGAATACAGCTAAAAGAAAACATGCATTTTTCATTTAAGCTGAGTTATGTGGGAAGAAAATGCAAGACTCTCATCTTTTCCTTGTTCATTTGTCCCAGTTTTTTCACAATGTGTTATGCAGACAGGAAGGTAGGACTCAAGCGCAGATACTCACACACAAAGCACTTAATCGTCACATAACACTAATTCAGTGAAACTTCAAGGATACCAATCTGTCCGTTGAGGAAGCACAAAAGATTGTGCAAATAAAATGGATATCAGGTGCAAATGAGCCACAAAAGCAAGAAAACTCCCAAAAATGGAATGGTTATGCAAGTAGTGGCCACCGACAGTTTTTCTCACCTCATCCTTACTGACTGATTCATCTCTAGTTTTGTGTTCTGCTAGTGTTCTTGTCACTACTGATAGCATGAGCCAGTCAGGTGACAGAGTTAGTCCAGCTTCTCCACAATGGCTCATCAATAATGTGCAGTCACATGATGGTTTGCCTTGTCACACATCACAGTCTCAAGAGCATGGAGGAGATACACAGAGACCTACAGTTACACGTGGAGAGCTGGACAGGGCTGTAGAAGTGTGGCGACCCTTTGAGCAAGGAGGAACAGACTCGCCCTGCCAGAGCCATACAGAATAACCTCCAGCAGGCTACTTTCTGTCAGTCAGAAAAAGACTCCATGAGGGTTGCATGAGGGCCTGCTGTCTTCTAGTGGACCTGTTCTCACAGCCCAGCACGTGCAGCTCGATCACCAGAATTGGCAGGTCCACCATTGGAGCCCTGTTCTCTTCAGAGATGAGAGCAGGTTCACACTGAGCACATGTGACAGGCGTAATGGAGTCCAGTCGTGGTACCATCTGCTCTCACCTGTGAAGAGAATGGAGGCGCCAATGGCGGACCTGCCTACTCTGGTGTTCTCAATGAAAAGTTGACTATATTCACACAGAAGCCATTTTCCTCTGACATCATGACCAAGTTGTGAAGCTGAAATGCAGTTGTAATGTCGTACTGCTTCCTGTATTCCTGTTTGTAAGGTGTATGGAAATAGGAAATTTGATAAATCATTATCATTTCACCTCTTAATGATCAAAAACTAAAACGACAATAAACTGTAAAAACTGCAGGAAAGTGTAAATTTTATAATTTTATAGATGCAGTCATACACAATCCAAGCTAATGTAAATGAGAGCAAGAATGCTTGAAATGCTAATTGGCTATTTAGATATCAAATATATATCTTTTTTACATTAAATATGGCTGAATGTCCCACTGTATATTTGCTATTCAAACAGCAATCAAGAAATGGTGTAATGTTACCTTTTCTGTTTGAAATGGATTTAACCAGGAGAACCTCATTGGGATTAAGAATCTCATTTGAAAGAGTGTCTTGATCAAGAGGGGTGACAGCACCATAAACAAGTCACAGACATAAAGCACAGAGCAATTGCAAACACAGATCAACATGTTTTCAGTCACAGAGCAGAAAAGTAATATTCAGAGCATCTACAACCTACAACATCTTTCTCCAACACCTTCAGTCTACTTTTAAAAAGATTTAAAGAGATCAGCTCCCCGAGACACAGATCATCCTGCAGGAGATTCTGAAACTCATTTTCCCCATTTCAAAAGCACTTTGGGAACAGATACCAGCAATCCGTTTTATGACTGCGTTACAGAGCGAAGACTGTGGCTTCCATCACTTTTCACATGAATACAATTACACAAGTATGAGAGAAGCAGGTGAAGTACAGCCTTATAAATAAGGACATGCCAGTGATTTTGTCTACGCATAGAAAATGCAGGCCATACGACTCGATCATACAATGTACAATGATGAGTCAGGGCCTTGAGATTTGTTACGAATCCAAACCCAGCATGATATACAGTGTCCAACGATTTTAGGCACTGAGAAGATGGATGCACAAATAGACCATCATCTTAATTGGGGCATGAAAGTAGCAGCAACAAGGTGTTGTTTTTTTGCAGTAAAAGAAAAACAAGATTTGTTTCTGAAAAAAAAACGTAAGCTTCTTTACACGTTGCTGAATATGATGCTTAAAAGACAAAGAATCATCAATTCCGAGGTATTTATAAGAGGATACAGACTCAATCACATTGAACTGAGATATAATAACAGAAGGCAGGTTAAGTGGCTTTTTCTTTGAGTTTGAAAACAACTTTGGACAAATGTATTCTTTTTTCTGACCAACAAATGTAGGTTATAAGATTTAAATTTCTCCACTTTGTTGAGTTTCTTTTTAAGATAAACAAATTCACACAGGACTATAACATAGTTTAGATACTTTAATGTTAAAGTAGATATGATCAGTGGAGATAGGGCCACCCCCAGTCAGAAAACATTTTGATCCATCCTTTGGTGTTTGAATACCATTCTTTACTGTATATCCTGACACCCCCTCCTGTCTGTTTTCATGTTGACAATGTCACAGTGGACACGGTGGTCCCGCTGTCTCTGGATGAAGCCACAGAGGGCACCATGTCATCAGAAGCTCTCCCTCTCATCTTTGAGCCTTTTGAAGATGTCCCATCCGAAGGGGTACTGGCAGCAGAAGCAGCACCGGCAGTGCCAGACATTGCTCAGCCTCCTGCTGCCATGGCAACCGCAGGAATGGACGTGGACCCGCAGCTGGTCACCATGGAGACAGACAGCAACGGTCCCTCACTGGCCCCTCCTCTTCTGACACCAGACTGGACATCACCCTGGCAGACGTCTGGTGCTGAGCTGCCGGAGCCAATCAGCTCCTCAGGACCGTCTGTTTCACAGCGACAAGCAGGAAGTGAGCTGCAGGATCACATGGAGAGAGGTGAGAGAAGAGACGTGGCAGGAGAAAGATTAATGAGTAAATCTTAGTGTCAACATAATGCTTTATACAACATTTTGTGTTCATTTAGCAGACACTTTTATCCATAGGGACAGACATCAGAGCGTGATGACAGGCAGGAAACAGAGGCAAAGCACTTCTTCTTTTTCTTTTTTTAATTTAAACTTAATATATCGTCATCAACAACAACATCAACACATGTTGTTGAGAGTTCTAATCAGCATCAAAACCATCCTAAATATTGTCATTATCAAACAAAACCATTATCATGTATTTCGTACATATGTGTTTATGAATGGGCTGGTTCTTTAGTTATAATATTTTATCTCGCTGGGCATGCTTGAATTTGGATGAATGTCATTTCAGCTGTACATGTATAGTAGGCCTACTTGTTTGAACACACATTAACCTTAATCAATCATTTTTTATTTAAATAGCTCTAAATCACAACAAAAGTTATCTCAGGACACTTTACAAAACGAGCAGGTCTAGATCCTTCTCTTTTTTATGCCTAAAACAAATCAACAATGTGCAATGACTTGGCTCTAACATGTGACAGGAAAAAACATAAAAACATACTTTTAGCAGACAGAAAGCTTGGACAAAACTGGGCTCATGTTGATCAGCTATATCTGCCGCAACTAGAAGTGCTGAGACAGTGGTATAGAGGGAGATGCAGGAGGAGAGAGAAGGATTGAGACAACAAAAAAATAGCTACCACGACACAGATAACACAGAGTTATTCCTACAATGACAATAATAGTAAAAATGTGTGTGTCATTCTCATGGTTGGATATGGATATTCTGAATATTAAATTAATTGAACCATTTCAGCTGTTTATAGCCCCAGAAAAACTTCAATTCATTATCTCAACCTTGCCAAGGTTTTCGTACTTATGCCTGAATAAGTCCACAAATTGATCCTGTAGATCATCTATTGTGTCCTATTTTTTAGATCTGGATTAATTACTTTTCACAAGCTTTATTTTCTCATGTTCTCATGAACATTAAGAAGATGTAACATATTTGCAGTAATTTTCACACTATAACTATGTATCTTGTACTCAGAGACTGCCTCCCACACATAAACAGTGTGGTGTGGAGCTGTCAGTTACACAATGTGTGTACACCTCCCTTTTCTTCTGATTTCTCCTTGTGCTTTGTTTGAAACATGTAGGAACTGTCAGGACACCCGACCTCGATGATAAGTTGCCTACCACTGGCCCCACCTTCTCTTCCTTCCCGCATACTATGACAACTGTAACCATGGCAACCCATCACCTCGCACACAAATCTAGATCGGGGTTAGAGGAGATGGAGTCTGATGGTAAGACGACTTTTATCGACCCCTGTAAGTCGATCTCATTTTAATCATAATCTTTTCTGAGCTCCTGAGGAGAACATTTTTAATCTTTCCCCCTTTAGAAGAGCAGGACGATGATGAGGATGACGAGAACTCAGAGGAGTCAGTGGAGGAAGAAAGTGAAGAGGACCTCACAGAAACTCCTAAAATGTTCTCCACGCCACCTCCATACAGCCTCATTCCTCCACCTCCTGTGTGGGTTCAACGCAACCAGGGGCTGAGTATGACGCCATGTTTTCTAAAACATACTTGTTTTATCCTAAGAGTTTAACTAAATAAAACTCACAACTTCTCTTGAGCCAATATAAAAGCAAACTTACATTTAAACTACTAAGAGTAAATCTTCAGGATGTTTTAATCTGTGACTCTTTTCTTCCAGTGCGGAGCTGGGTAGAGCTGATTAGAGAAAAGGTAACACTGCCCTCTGCTGTCCTGGAAACGTCTGTTGTTCATCAAGAAATGTCCCTTAACTTCAGTCCTAAACTCATGCATATAGCTGGCCATATTGTCTGCTTGTGTTGTTGTCAGCCATTCTCGTGTAAAGACCAACACCGATAATTGATTGATGTCATCACCAGGACAATAATACTTATTTCCATCAGAGGTGGCTAAGCACAGACATTATTACTCAATGAAAAGTACAAAGACCAGATTCAGATAGACTCTGTTAGAGGAGAAGAAGAGGTTGTAATCAGTCTCATTGTTGGGAAAGTGGCACCAAATGAGGTGAAATATAAAATAACTGAAAACTCTCCTCTGACTGAGTGAAGCTAAATTAACGGGTCTGTTTTCAAAGTGGGAAGAGAAAGGACGTGAGAGAATGGATGTGTAAAGATGTCCATGAACCCCTGTTTGAGAAACGTTTGCTAAAAAGCTAGAATCAAGCTGCTTCAGGGAAATGTCCACATTGCTTATAATAAAAGCAAAGGAATATTAACAACTCACCTGCTTTTAAATATAAAGACTGGTTGGGATTCAATGACAGGTGAGGGAAGTTGGAAAGTAGCAAGACAAGAATGTATTCATTCAATTGGGTTAGTTATTAATAAGAAATACCTGACTGTGTTTTGCTGATAAAAGTAATCTTCTGAAATGCAAGCAAATACAACTCTACTTTTTCGGGATAATTTTGGGAAAAGAAAGGCAACTGGTTTACCTGGTTTGGGCATGTTTGTGACTCAACACTTAAGCATCTCCACTCTTTGCAGGCAGGTTATGTGTCTGGGATGTTGGCCCCTGTGGGCATTGGCATCACTGGAGCCCTGCTTATTGTTGGAGCGCTCTACAGCATCAGGATGATTCACCGTAAGAGGAGGAACAGCTTTAAACACCAGAGGAGGAAGGTCAGGCAGCAAGAGGTAAGTACCCTACCCTTATTAATCATTTTTAATCTCCAGTTTCACTTGTTGAAAATGTAATATCCTGGATTAAGTATTGAGGTTATTTTCCTCTCCAGCAACCTCGGGAGCCTGGGACCAGCGGTCAGGACCAGGCCATGCTGCTGGCCGACAGCTCCGAGGACGAGTTCTGACGAGATCCTTTTGGGCTCCTTTTGTTAGTGACCAATGGCTGATGCTCCTGTAAAGGAGGCCTGTCGACCATCCCCATTGCTATGACTACCACATCTCCAATCACCGGGGGCTGTTTCATTATGACTCATCTGATCCTCACCGTGTGACTGAGTATAGGACACAGTTTGCACAGGCTGCACAAAGGTCAGCTTTGTATTCCCCCTTTTCTAAAAGTACCAATGTGAGCACTTTCCTGAATGTTGTCAGGTGATGTTGACTTTAATGGTTGGGCAGGGCTGGTGTGATGCACTTTGACATTCAAAATAATGTTGCTGCTGGTAAAATAAAAAAAACATTGCTAGTTATTTAAAGTTTTCGTGGAGTTGAGGGGGAAAAGCGTGGACAAGCTGGTTTTCTGTCAAGTAATATAAAGGGCTGTAGAGGAATTACATTACATAAACATTATGTGAATACATGTGCTGTTAATGTAGCTGACTTGAGGTCAGTCATGTAAATGTAAATAAAGGTTAAGTTCTTAATACTCGTCTGCTCTATTTTAAAGGAATTGCTTCACATTTTGGGAAATATGCTCATTCACTACCTTGCAGAGAAGAAGATCTGTTAGCTGCTGCAGCTAACAATGAGCTTAGCCAAATAGTTAAAATGATAAGATCTGTTGGCTTGAGATATTAAATACAATAAGAATCAGAACAGGAGTAACTGTAACAGGCAGCTTGCACGGTCAAAAAAAAAAATATATATATATATTTTTGCAAGAATTAGATAAAGAAAACAGGGAGGAACCATCGGCTGGAGCTAGCAATCAAGTTAAGCAATTTGCTTAGTTTTGAATGTGGACTTTTGGCTTAAGAGCTACCCAGTCTAAAAGTAACAAAACCTGCCTTAAAGCAGCTGTTTTAAACAAAAAAGTTTGTTTAAAACACTTGCAGAGCAGTGAGTCTCTACATGGTTACCGAACAGCAGATGGCTAAAAAAACATGTTAATAAGTAAGTAAGTAATAAGTAAGCTTCAGATGTGCTTGATGACGGAATTTGATACATGTTAATGAAAAGGCTAGCTGTTAACTAGTGTCCTGTCTGAGTGCTAAGCTACGTTTGCCCTAGCTGTAGCCTAACATTAGCTTAATTTCAAAAAATAGATATGAGAGCTGATTTACTCTCTGGAAGAGATTAACTGAGGGTGTTTCCTAAAACGTTTAACTATTCCTTAAATGAAGATTTTTAACACATTACGAATCATTCACATAACACCTGTTTGAACTAATGTTGAATTTTGAGGCAATGTTTGTTTCATTCAGGGGCATAAGCTTGTAAGAGTTGTCATGATACAAATACAAAATACCATAATCCTACACATGTAGCATAGAATTGATTTTGATGTTAATATAATGCTTGTCTGGATTCATTTTTACTACCACTCTACAACTCTTGTTTTTTTTATTGAGCATGAAGACATCCCAATCGACTCAACACCGAACTGTTGCAGAGATCACTTTCACACTGAAGTGAGTCTGCTGGCTGGAAAAGCACAAACATTTCAAACAACTGGGCTAGGAGCTACTATTTTCAAAAGAAACTTTGTTTTGACCAGCTATCCTTGCACAAGAGTGGTTTTTGTGTGTTTAACTGATCCAGACAGCGACAGATAAAGAAAGCCTTTTGGTAGACTTGTTTGGTTAAAGATTGTCACAGATGCTGAGTTTTAGTACCCCCAACCCACACACACACTTTTTTAAGCGAAAAAAAACCACACAAAAAACAGACAAATCGTTCAATAAAAAGTCTTCGCTTCAGTTGAGACGTTTAAATTGGCCATTTGAGCCATGTTGTAAAACCAATGACTAAAACTGTTTTCTTTTTTTTTTTTATAAGGAAAATGTATTTTCTGTAACTCCATGAGCCATCTGATATGCTTCATGTACAACTGCCTGTTTATATGCAATAATACTGTTTTAGGGTAAATGTGATGTAAAATAGTGGGCACTTTTTTGTCTCTTTATGTAGATATGAAACAGAATGTGACAAAAATTAAACTAATTCTTTTCAATGTCTCATTGTGACCTCTTTCTTTATAGTAAAGCTTTAGTAAGAACTCCTAAAAAACGCTCCAGACAGCAGACAAGATAACCAGTTTACAGCATTAAAAAAATCAAATAATTTATTTCTGTGTTCTTTTTCCACATTAAATAAAAGCTATTGGACATTTCCAGATCAAAATCAAGAGAGGGGACAGGGAGGAAAAAACAGGGGGAACAGAAATCTGACATGCAAAAACACCTTTTGCACCCTTGTTGATGGTTGTGGAGACGACGCAGGAGGCAGTGCAGGCTGCCCTGAAAGACTGCAGGAAGCCCCTTGCTTTGGGAGGTTGCTTGCTTTTAGTTGCACAGCCAAGAAAAATGTCTATCTGACCAACAATCTGGTTCTGGGGGAATTTATGATTATAACACTCAAAATGAAGGCTGGCAGATGTCGCCCCAGTTGAGGACAGAAGTGGGGTGGTGATTGTTAGAACAAGCTTCTTAGATTGCACACTGACGTCCGGGGAGAGGACAAAAAAAAACCACTTCTGACATCTGTGAACACTGAACTGGCACGTCAAGTCAAACCTTACTCCAAATGCATTGTCAGAGAAAAAGCTATGCAACAGCACAAGTTATGGCAACAAACTGATAAAGATGACGAAGCCCTTCAGTCTGCGATCTGAACAGAGCTTCTTGGCTCTTGGGGACAGGCTGTAATGCCCATAAACCTAACAGAAAAGCCAGAGCTTCACATGACTAAACGAAGAAGAAAAACAACAGCATTTTCCTTCAAAATCTCAAACACCTCCGCACGGTGACAACAGGTTATTGGGAGAACGATAGGTTAGGTTGTAAGGTTTTATAAATCCTCCTCCATTCATCAGTAGTTGATGGAAGGAAGAAAGGCTGGGACAGTGAGGGGGCACTGAGGAGGGGGATACAAGTGTCCAACACAGTGACCAAAGATTCAAACTTAACCAAAATAAACCAGGAGAGGTTAACACAGGGTGATAATTGAAATATAAACAGTGTCAGAAGAGCAGTGAACAGAGTAGTTTGTGTTTCAGGGTCTAGAGTGTTTCTGAACTGCCCCATAACTCCCATTTCACAGAAACACAAAATAAAAATTGAATCTAAAAAAAATCTACTTAAAGCGTCCCGTTCCCAACAGATGATTCACAAAAAAAAAAAACCCATGCTCTCAAAATATCCAAAGAGTAGAACAATACAAATCTGAAAAAATAAAATAAAAGGTCATATGATCCTTTGCTCCAAATGCAGACACACACTTGCATACACAGGCTGTTATGTGGGTGGCAACTCTGTAAACATCTACTCTCCCTTTCTTTCAATTATTGGCTCCTGGGATCAAACATTTTAACTAAGAGGGGAAACAAACTATGACAATGGATCCATCGATTCCAGAGCATCCGACTACCATGAATGTTTGCTGCGGACCTAAGTGTGTTCTGAAGTCAAACATTTGCAGCTGTTTGTATGCCACATGGCCGTGTCTTACAGTGCTTTCCACTCAGATTATTAAAGGCAGGATGAAAGCACACAGATATCCAATTGCATAATTTGAGACTCTCAAGGAAAATGGTACTTAAAATTGCATTAACAACTTGTATATGTGGGTTGGGTTTTTTTTTTGGACTGTTGAAAAAAGAAAAGAAAAGAGGATTTATTGTCCACTCAACTATTAACCAGACAACCTACGACCCCTTCTACTGCATTACCCATCACCTCACATTGTGGAAAGCTTAAAACAAAGTGTGTGAATTCTTTCTTCCTGTTGTCCTTTTAACGATGCAGGCACAACAAACATAGCCAAGCAGCGTAGAGACACGCTGCCCAGCTCCACTGCTCAATTGTTGTCTTGTATTGTGTGGTCTTTAAAAAACAAAACAGCACCCCATACGGTTTATATACTTAACAGTTTCACAACTACATTTTCTTTTAATGGATGATTTTGACATAATGACGGAAAAAATCTGTAAAAAAAAAAAAAAAAAAAGAGTCGCCTCCACTTTAGTCCACGCCGAGCTATTCCCACATGCTTTGCGAAAAGCTGGTGCAACAGACCAGGCGTTAACAGGCTGCAACTTATTAACAAATTTGGTCCCACACTATGAGAAACTGATGCATTTAAAGAAAACAGTAACAAACTGTTTATCAAATAAAACCTTGTGGGATGCTTGCTTTATTGAAAGACTCCATAATTCAAGACAACAAGTGAGCAGCGGAGCTGGGCGGCACATCTCTCTGTGGATTGGAAATGTGTCGTGTCCACACCACAAAGCTGGAATAAAACACAGCACCTAAAAGGATCAGAATTTTCCTGTTCAGGGTCTAAGGAAAGAGATTCACACCGTTGTCAAATAAACAAAGTGACAGACATGGACGCATTCACACGTACACAAACACACCGCAGCAGTTTCCAAAGAAGTGCATCTGACCTTTGTTCATTTTACTTTAAAAACAAAAAGAGGCTGAAGCAGACATTTTTTTTTTGCTGCCATAATTAGTGTGGGTTTGGAACGTCTGGGGTGCATCTTTGACAAGTTCCAGGTTGGAGATATTTAAAATGTTAGCGAGGTTGGTTGTGCATTGAGTTTTAGGGCCCATGGAAGTGCATCATAGACTCAGCCGCTGTTGGGCAGCATGAGGTTATACAGGTGTAGAGTAGACAATCCAAATAAACTGAAAGCGAACACAAGAATAAAATATAATCTGCTAAGAATACTTGTCTATTTTTCCTTTTTTTTTTTTTTTAATCAAGAGATAAACACACACACACACATTCACAGCACACTCAAAACGGGAATCCAGCATATGTAAAAATTCAACCAGACAAGAACCGGGCCGAGGCTGCCGAGAGACACCTTTAAGGGGGCGAGGTCACTGCAGTTGTGGCTGATAGTGCAGATGAATTGAGTGGCACTTTAAAGAGAAACAGAAGAATCATCTTAAAAGAGTGACACATTTGACCTCAAGATCGTTGGCAAAGAGTCTGTTATTTTCTCTTACTTGGGGAATTTTGCAGCAGCTGGCAGTGCATTTGGAAAAAAAAAAACAGCTCTGAAGAAAAAGTCCTCAAGAGTACTGTGAGGGTTTGATGATAAGAGATTTAGTGAAGGACACTGAAGCGAAAAGGTGGGCTAAGTTTGAGGCTCTAATGGAGTGATTTCGATCATCTGCTCTGCACCAACATGCTTACACCAAGCACAGCAAGGGGGTTAGCTTGGGACTGGGTTAATGGGCACACGCATACACACTCTTCACACCTTTTCCCCGCACTCACATTAAAATAAATGCATGCATATCTTTACAGGCTTCAGTCCTGGAGGCTGAGGCAGGTGATGGAAAACTGGACAGGATGAGAAACAAAAAAAACAAACAACAGTATTCACATTTCACACAGTCACACACTCTCATAGTGAAAACAAGCACACCACACACATGCACACAAAAACAGGCCACACACTCCTTTATCCAGTAAAATAAAAATAAAACATGAGGCGGTACAAACACACAGTCATACTATAGCTTCTGCATCCACCATCCAAGGTTAAAAAAGAAACACAAAAATAAACTCCACAAATATTTTTTTCTCCCCAGTCTATTTATGCTGCCCTGCTTCCTTGTTTCACGTGGTTTTTGTTTTCCTTAAGTTTGTTTGTGTCCTGTGTTCTTCACGAGGATTTGCTGTGTCCTCACTTGAGCTGCCTCACGACCCGGTCAATGCGGCATCCAAGCATGAAGGTCAAAAGGGTCACCCCGGGGTCATCCTAGAGACCACCCTCACTCACCCCCTTCCTTCTCATCACAGGAAGTATCAAGGGGCTGCTTCATGTGGGGTGTTCATCCTTTCTACCTAAACAACACTTTTTCAGAGCTTGAGGACAAAAACAGGGTGTGTTTGCATGTCTATGTGCATATTCCTCATGTCTGAACACAGGTGCGTGTGTGTGTGAGAGGGTGTGTACTGTGTGTGTGTGTGTGTGTGTGTACTGTGTGTGTGTGTGTGTGTGTGTGTGTGTGTGTGTGTGTGTGTATAAGAGTGAAATGACCAGGGCAGAGCTGAGGCTGTCAAGCTGATAGTGTACGAGGTGAACAGCACCGGCTGTCCCGTTTCCTCCCCCTGTCCCGTCTTCGTTCCCCTAGCGGAGCCACAGTTTGAGCCGCAGCGCGTCCACTCCGTTCAGGTAGTATCTGAACAGCCGCTTGTCTCTTACAAAACCCAAGTTTTCGTACAGCTTCAGAGCTGATTTGTTGGTGATTTCGGTCTCCAAAACAACCTGGGGAAACACAGACGGTCATGTCAATATGTTACTGTTAATATCTGTTCTATACAAACTGGTATCAAAGACACTTTTGATCGTTTGGACTCTTGGTGAACACTAACAGTATTTTGGCATGTTATACATTATTGGCATGCTAGCACTACGGAGTTAACCTTAAAAAAAAACCACAATTCTCAACCTGTCTTGGTAGTTATTTGGTGTTTCTTGTACGTATACTTCCAAGAGTCAGCTAGCTGTTGTACATAATAACATATGAAAATGAACTGTAAGGTGCATGACAGCTCATGTCCGGTTTATTTGGACAGCTGTAATTGGGCAGAAATACCTTCTTTGCGCTAGCTGCAAATGACACCTTCTAACACCAAAATGTCTCGTATTCTAGTCCTACGGGACTTGCACCTTCATCTGAGCTGAGCGTGCAGTTTCTTTCTGCTGCGAGGCTTTGTGCTGCAGTGAGCTAACAAGAACATCGAGCAGGCATTATTTTCACCTGCAATGGTGGGAATAGTGCTGTACACATCAAAACAACATTAAGAATGTTGGCAGTGTGCCGTCAAGCTGTGACGGAGTGATGAGAAGCAGACATAGCAGGACCCTAAAACTGAAGCTACATTCAACTATAATGAATGCCATTGCTAACAGTGGTGATTGTCCTACTGCGACAGATCACAGGTCTTCCTTTTAGACATATTAAGCACCTAATTTTAGCATATTCATCTCAATGACACAATGCTTAGATGAAAAAATAAACATCCTAAATGGTTGGGGGGGCACTCCTGTTAATACAAATCATTTATATTAAGAGTAAAAGACATTCACCTTACAGGATTCAACACAGCTTCATACTGGACAAAGAAACTTTCTTTAAAGTGATCAACAGAAAGATTAAAAACATAATCAAGAGTACCCTGAGGACATATCGACAAGGTACAACAAATCAAGGACCATAGAATAAATGGCAAGCAAAGAAAATCATCAGTGACATACAGACCATGATAACGACCATGCTGAGTTAAGTATTTCTGATCAACATCGTATTTTGATAACTTCTTCACTTCTGAGTAGGTCTTATCGTCCATTCATCGTGCAACAATTTCCAAGCCACATGCTTCTTGTAAACATGCTTGGCAAATGTGAACCACGGCAGTTACTCCTTATTAGAGGCGGAAGTAGCTCAATTCTTAAACTTAGGTTGGGAACCGGAGGGTAGTATGCTAATTGGTCAGGTTGCTGGAGAGCGGGGCAGTTCACTTCCTTAGCAAGGGACCCTGACCAACCGGGGCGCCCTCACTCTGACATCTCTCCATTAATGCATTCATGTGGGGGTCTATGCGAGTGAGTAACATGTCTACCAATAACAAGAGCATAAACCGGAATTTCCCCTCGGAGATAACTTAGTATATAAAATAAAAAAGTTGTTATCTTTCGGTATGAGTGTGTCATGGCTTTGTAATGTAATTAGATGAGCTGTTTTTCCTCTCTGTGCCTTTAAAGTAGATCAAATTGAAGTTTACTGTCATTGGATAATTTATTTAAAAGCTAAACAGTAATGGAATCACAAAAGCTAAGCAGGATTTTGTTGTCAAACATTAGAGGAGATATATTTGGGTCCGTTTTAAGAAAAGTGATACATCATTGGTACCGCTGTGATGTTTCTGCTTCCAGGACTTACTGTAAGTTATGATGTTTCTATCCATACAGAAACCTGCCTGCTGATACTCAGACACTAAAGATGAAAAAATGCAACGTGCTGCACACTGTATTTTCACAGTTGCTCTAATCATGACAAATACATTTTAATAAAAGCCTGATAGCCAAATCAAAACCAAGAAAAGAAATACTGTGATGAATTACAGTAGCAGTTCTTTGCAGTGTACGTTTAACACAAAAATCTAATTTCCATCTCAAACATTTGGAGATTTCAAATTATTTCAAAACCTTCTGTGTGAAAGAAGCAGTGAATGCGTTTATTCAGAGAAATGAAGAGCGAGAGAAAAAGCTTTGAGTAGCGGGGATAGTGAAAGGCTTGAAGGAGCTGCCAATCAAACCGAGGTTACCAGCTAAATGAGATATGTGAAGGACAAAGCAAGAAATGAGGGCCTTGAATACAAGCAGGTCTCTTCATTTCAGGGTTTTTTCTTTTAGCTCCTGCTTGCACAGAGACTCCGTGTCGAGCAAGAAAAGGTTTTCAGTAGCACTGACAATGGGCCAAGACCAAACTAAAAAACAAAGAACTAAAGGAAAATGTAAACAGACGGTTAATTTGAAAAAAAAGAAAAATCATTTACAGACGTTTCAATTTTTGTATTGAATGTTTTTCTGAAGGATTTTAAATTTTTCTTTTTTGTCTTTTGTTTCTTTAGCAAGACTGTCCTTTCATCAACCGTATACATGAACATTGTGAGGAAATACTCTGGCACACAGTTTGAATGTGTGCCAGTGTCAGGCATAAAGCCCATGCATGTTAGCATTAACCCTTTAGTATGTTTCAGGCTTTTCTCTTGATGTAAAGAAAGGCATGCAAAGTGAATGAGACATCCTGCAGTAGGAAGGGGTTTCATGTGTCTTACCTCGTCACAGTCACCCTCCACCATGGCATAGATGGCCTTTTTAACTAGATTAGTACCTGACAGAGAAAAAGTCAAAGTCAGCAAAGGCATAAAAATAACAAAACATACACTTTTGAGAAAACTCCACATGGGTTTTTCTATTTTTATGCCTTATAATCTGATATTATTAGAAAGGCAATAGGTAAAGTGTTGCACATGAACTCAGGCTGCCTAACTTTTCTAAATTTAGCATTTGCATAAAGAGATTTGGCTTTCAAAGAAACCAGAAAATACGCTATTGGCTCTACATTGTGCAGAGTCAATATCTCACCGATGCTTTTCCTTCTATGTTTTGAGTCCACGGCCAGCATGGCGATGTAGCCACGGCGGAACATCTTCTTGTGCATGTCAAGCTTACATACAATGGCTCCGACACACTCCTGCTCCACCATGGCCTGCAACACATACACACACACAGATAACAGTAAGTTGTCTGCTGGGGAGGTTACTAAAAGGTTAACAGGAGTCCCTGTAAATCAGCAGTCATTCTGCAAGTTCTGCTGGCTCTCTGGGCTGACCTCTGACCTTTATTTCATGACACTTCCTCTTATGTCACATGCGGTGTTCCAGATAAACTGGGAAGTTTATGACCTTGAGGCTCAGAGGATAAACAAAGCAAAGACAGAAAACCCTGACTGGACATTGTAAGTACAAGAGGAAATAACTTCTTGAAGTCCATAACTTTCTACTGAATATAGCTTCTCAAACTCCGCCTTCTCCTGAATTGCTGAAAAGTTTGACACGACAACTGAAACGCGAACTGTAAGAGACGTTGTCATGGCAGTGAAATCTTTCTTGATAGGACAGCTGAAAATTTAGTCTGAAAGACTTTTACAGAGGAGTATGAGCTGTAGCTGAAAAGGAAACAATAGAAAACCTCAAAGCAATGTTCTTTCAGTGAGACATTAATATATGTGGTTGTGTATCTTTTGTACATATCAGCACTATGCTTGGCTGCCTCTGACACACTGACAGGTGAAAGCATGCAGTCACACCCAGCCCAACTAATGGTATGCAGTTTCAGGTAACTAAAGTCCATCAGCTAGAAGGAGGGTGGCTCTCACAAAAACATATGAATGGAAAAAACAGGTTTAAAGAGGGAATACTAAACTATTTTCTTCAAGGTGTCAGTGTGATACTCACCAGAAAGCAAAGCTGCGGCCAGTTGTGGATGAAGTACCTGTATGTGTAAATTGAATAAGGCTCAGACAAGTCCTTGGTGATCAGTCTCATGATCCACGGCATCTGCAGCTCAGACTCGTAGCGGACATATCGGATGCCGTGGCTGTCCTCCTCCTCCGCCCGGCCGGGAGAGCCGCTCAGGTCGAGCCGGGCGAGCTCCGCGGCCGGCGGCTGGAGCTGCTGGTCGACCGGGCTGTGCTCTCCCCCGGGCCCCGCCGCGTCCGTCGGCTCGTCACTCGGAGGTCTCGGCGGCTCCATGTGGTCAAACTCGTGTTTCTCCTGGTTTTCCGGGTGGCTGCGGGCCGCGTCAGTTCTCGAGAAACCGGGCATCCCGTTCATGGTGTTGTTAACCAGGGGAGAGTGACTGCTGCCGTTTTTGGAGAAGGGGCTGTGGCCTTCCTGTTGGCAGAGCTCACTATTGTTTCTCCCGGCTGGAGCCTCCTCGCTGCTGCTGCCGCCGCTGCTGCTGCTGCAGCAGCAGCTGTCACAGTTGTCCACGGACGGTCTCGGGTTGTCAGGCCGGCTTCCTGCGTGCTCATGGCTGTCAGTGTCCTCTGCGGAGCTCGACAAGCCGTTTAGCTGCTGCTGCTCTCGGGCTTGCGTTTTGAGGTGCAACGCCGCCGGGCTAACTCGAGCTAGCATGTTCTTCTGGTTCTTCTGAACGGACGTGTGGGCCTCGCTTACCAGAGGACACGTCTTCCCTGTGTCGGTGGGTATACCGTCCTCCCTGCAGCAGCAGACCGGCTCTCCGTCTCCCCCCGCCGGCTCCGCACTCCCAGCCCCGGGGAAAGGAGGGATTTCAGCCGGGGATGCGGACAGTGCGCTACTAGGCCCAGGCGGCACTGTGGCCATCCCACCGCATTAAGGAGGAGATTCACGCTTGTAAAACGTCGAACACAATCTCATCGACAAAGCCAAGACATAAACAATGAATAAACAATCGAGTAAACCGAGTATTACATAAATACACCGGGTTTAAGGGCGATAACGTATCCGCTCCAGACGCTAGTCGCTGCTTTCTCCTCGATTTCCCTTCTGCCGGAAAGTGATGTCGCAGCAAACGCCATTGCAACAGTAGGCAGATACGTTTTACGACAGTGGTGTAACGTATGACAGAGGCGAGTACAGTTCAGACACTGTAGTGCAAGAACCACAGACTGTAAATATTAGGCAAGATTAGGAACGTGCGAACAATTCATAGACTGGTTGTGTAGCAAAACCAGTAAGAAACATGCCATTATATCCCAATAGCATTATTTCTGTCTCGTTGAAAAACAAATTATTGACTTAATGGTGAGAGTATTGCTAATTTTTCATTCACAAGTCTAAATTCATGAAGACTCCACTTATATTCTAATGTTACTTTTAATTAAATTGAACTCTATACTAATTCCCTTAAATTCATGAAATCCAATTGTGCCAAATATCTCACTATTTAAAATTGACCTCAAAATGACATTTCTTCATACGTTTGTCTTTTTTATATATTTGTTTTCATTGTTTGTTTATTTAAATATTATATACCGTATTCTGTCATTTGTGCTATGATTTTATTTAACTATATTTCTGTTTCAGGGAATTCTTGTGAATGTAGTAAATGTGTGCATAACTAGGCTACGATAAAATGAAATAAAATAAGAATTGCACCAGAAAAAATGTGCTTTATGGGCTTTTATTTGTTTGTTTCATGTATTGTATTAACAGGATATACAAATAACGAGCTTGAGCACTGTCTCTAGAACAACATTAAAAAAATTATTCACAATTATAGAAGAAGAGAATACAGGCCCGGAGATGTTTTGATAAGTTTTATTTTTATTTAATCCTCATCGTTCTCCAAAAATCTTTTAATTAAGGCGAAATCATCAACTAAATATATCTACATGATTGATATAGTTCTATTGAAAATCAGTCATATGCAGAGACTTTGTTATCATAGTTTTATTTGTTATTCAATAGCAATAAGACCTAAATAGATCATTCTCTGGCTGAAATTGAATGTGTTTTTTAGTCTGTTATAAATTGGACTACTTTAATTTGAAATGGCTTCACAAGGACAACTGATCAAAACATCCTACTGAAATTTGTCAGTAAGTTTTCTTGTTCTACTTTCCCACCAGCCGGGGGCGCCAAGTTGGTGGTTCATTTGAAAAATGTGTATTTTTATTTTCGAACAACACTGCTACTTCTCCATTAGATGTCGCCAGTAGATCATTATTAACTGCCATCATTTTTATTGGCCAGGCTTCGTCCTGTTCACGTACACCAAGTTTGCTTAGAGGAATGCAACTTTATCTGTGATGGCTGAGACTTATTGATTTTTTTTTTTTACAAATTATAATATACTGTTTCGTTTTTGTTTGATTCAAAGTAATACAGGGCAGACCACATCAGTCAAGACTTTTAGCTGTCATGCTTTGAGCACTATAACACATTGGTATGAGAACACTTGACTTAAGTGTTAACAAAACTACCCAATAAACCAAAAGTTTATTTATCTACTTTATGAACAATAGTAACGTTTATTTGATGCAACTCAAAACAATACTCAATTTCAAGCTCAATAATTCAACATCTTTAATTATGTTTGTAGAACATTTGCTCTGTATCTGTCATGTGGTCACAATTTGGATGATGATTTATTCTCAATAAAGTTGTCAATTGAAATAAATACGTGCTTATTTCAGAAATCAATGTTACAATTTGGCAGCCAAGGATAGGTACTGGGTAATTGTTGATAATTTCCTAACACTCTCACAAAGCCTATTGTTGGCTTTCTTCTTAGACGCTTAAGAGAATGGTAAATATTTTGGCCAATTCTGCCCAAAAATAGCAGTCAGGTTTGAAATGTGAACTTTACAACCCAACCTGCAGGCTTGTGTTGGTCCAGGTTTATCTGCAGAAGGATGTAAAACATCCTAGGTGGCAGTGTTACTCTACTGAGTTCTCAAGCACATATGTACTCAGTGGAGGATATTTTGCATATTTTAGTTTGTTTTTTTCAAGCCCAATAGCCCAATATAGCAAACTTGGTTGGAAGGAGAAACGGATATATGGATGGATGGAAATAGATAGATAGATGGAAATAGATAGATAGATGGGAATAGATAGATAGATAGATATGTAGATATATAGATATGTAGATAGATAGATAGATAGATGCTTGACATGTTTAAAGAGGCAGTGTCACACTTTGTAGATATGTGTCACAGAAACGGAGAGATAGACGGAGAGAGAGACGGCCCTTTGAAAGCTAAGCCTCAGGCTGAGAACTCTCTGAAGAGCTGGAATCAGACATGCACAATCAGTTCCCCTCTTCAAATCTCCTTTACAGGCCTATCTACTTGAACAGGCTTCTCTTAATTACTTTCTCTATCACTTAGCGAGCGGTGCCTGCCTGGGACGCGGAGCAGCAGCGTCTTGCCAGAGACACTTGGCTGGTTTGAACCCATATTCAGATATCTTCTTTCTCACAATCCTGTCCCATACCTTTTTTTCCCCTTCCCTCTTCTTCTCTTTTCTCCCCCCCCCCCCCCCTCCTGCTTTCACTCCTCTTGTCTTTCCGTGGCTCTCCCCATCCTGCCTCTATTCCCTTTTCCAAATACCTCCAGGGTGTCAGTTGCGTCATGTGACTGGTGTGCTTGTGATTACAGCAGCTGGCATCCACACTCATCTATGAGGAAGAACCAAAATACCTTTAAAAATGTTGTAAAGAACAACATTGGTCCATGAGTGCTCAGAGAAGAGTGACAGCTCTCTCAGGACAGTCTAGGCTGAAATGACACCCAAACATCCTCCTTCTTTAAATGTCTTGTCTTCTGTCTTTCAAACCTGTCTCTTGTTTTAGAGGCCAAGTTTTTGCATCTCCTCCTTTCCCCCCCTTCTCCTGCCTGTCACTTTGGCTCGCTCCCTTCACATCCCTGTCCTCCTCCTCCTTATTCTTCATCTTTTTTTTTTCTTCTGTCTGGCGTCTGGTCCACTAGAGCTGTATTTAATTAGTTTCTGTTGGGTTAATTAGGGGGGTAAAGTTAGGGGGTCAGACTACAACAAAAGCGGGTCAGGCTGGACGGATGCAGGTGCTCTTGTGCGGTTGCCAGATTCCACCGTTCAGATTAAGATGGCTGAAAATTGTCTCAAGTAGGAGACAGGTTTTCCACCAGATTTGGGATGCAAGCTTTCTTTATATTCATAATGGGATCATTGTACTTAAAACATTTAAAAATCTCATCTTTGCATTTTCCCTAAATGAACACCTTAAAGTCGAAGGACTTCAGCTCACTTTCATGTCTTCATGTCTCCCTCTCATATTACCCTGGCACCCATCACACACAGCTGATCTAATGTATGGTGCCTTCAAGTGATCTTTCTGCCAGTCTGTTTCCATACAAGGTACTGTGTCGTCGTATCGCTCCCAGCACTCAGTCCATTATTTTATCCCGGCATGGCAGCTATACCCTCTCCTTTCTGTTTGACAGTTGTCTGTAGAATTAAAAAACATGTGAATAAGACATCAAATGACCACTCCAGCCAAGTTAAGTATACATAAAATGGGCACTTTAAGGCCTGTGAAGTGTACATCAAATGTTTAAATGGTGTGATCACATAAATGAGAAAAGCATTATGCTTTGCAGAACGCCCCAGTCTGCAGGACTTTGAAGGTCACCTGGGTACTTATTGTACTTATTGCATGCATTTACAACTTAAAACTGCATTTACGTGGTTATAAAGAGGGTTTGTGATAGATTAAGGACAAATATGCAGATTTAGAAGTGGAACTTTGAACGCAAAGAAGCAGAAGAGCCAAAAGAGACAGAATATGACCTTTTCTTCCATTCTGTAGAGATGAAGAGGGAGCAGATGAACTGATATAAGAGGGGAGGAGAGAAGAGAGAGGGGAGGAGAGGAGAGAAAAAGGGCATCTCTGGCATGGCTGGAGACCCTCAGTGTGTGAGAGTCCTGGGGCCCTTTAGACAGGCGCCAGCCCAGCAGGGAGGCAGAGACAATCGCGCAGCACCAGATTCAATGCAAGGGAGATGGAGGGAGATGAGGAGACACCGAGGGGAGGATGGATGGAGGGAGGGAGGGAGGGAGGGAGGGCATGTTGAGGGACAAAGAGAGCGGCTGAGAAAGGTGGAGGACATGACAAGGAGACGAGTAGACAGGTAAGAGCGAATGAATAGAAGAAACAAGTCAAAAACATATTGATGGCGAGGGAGGAAACGGAAAAGTGTGACTCAAGAGGAGGAGAAGGAGTAAGTGGAAGAAAGAGTGAGCGAGGTAGAGATAGCACGTATTCCCTCTGTTACAGTCTTTATCATCGGCCCAGATCGTGGTGTATGAACAGTGATCCAAGTCAACCATCTGCTGAGGCTAGATAAGCCTGGGAGAGCCGGGTATTGAGCTGTCACTCAGGGAGGAGTGCCGAGAAAGAAAGAGAGGAGGGGAGAGAGGAACAGAGAAGAAATAAAGACAGAACGGGAGAGGGTGAGGGAGGGTTGAGGGAAGGGGGTCTGTGTTGCAAGGTAGGAGAAGAAGATTTGCGCAGGCTGCGGAGCATCCGTCTTGTTAGAGAAAGACTTAACGTCAAATAGATGTCCAGACATGTCCTGCCTCATCGTCAGCTAATCCTTCAGCTAATAAGAAGAACAATGAAATGTATTACTTTTTTATTTTGTCAACCCACTCACACACACACACACACACGCACAGACACACAGACGCATACTCCCATCAAAACTTGTGCAAAAGATGACAAGAAGCTGTCTGGTGATCATTCCCTGTCACCAACATGTTCATAAATGTGACCACAGTCGGTTGAAAGTAGAATTTGAGCTCTTTTCCTTACACTTAGAATAACTTTATAATTCAGACACAAAGTGCACGCTCTAACACACACGCCACAATGTCAGAAAGTTTGTGCAGACAGGTTTTTTTCACCTGATTAGACACCTTTAACTGCTGGTGAGTATCCCCAGAGTGGAAGATGAGTTGATTAGGCATATAGGTGATTAAGTTAAATCCCACTTAAACATATCCCTCTAAACCACTTA